TCAGAATTTGGCGTAAACAGAATGAGAACATGGAACCATCATGCCTTGTTACCACTGTGCAGGCTGGTGGTGGTGGTGTAATGGTGTGGGGGATGTTTTCCTGGCACACTTTAGGCCCCTTAGTGCCAATTGGGCATCGTTTAAATGCCACGGCCTACCTGAGCATTGTTTCTGACCATGTCCATCCCTTTATGGCCACCATGTACCCATCCTCTGGTGATGATCTGGTGATGGTGATGCCATCATGTCAATATGGACCAAACTCCCTGAGGAATGCTTCCAGCACCTTGTTGAATCTATGCCACGAAGAATTGAGGCAGTTCTGAAGGCAAAAGGGGGTCCAACCCGTTACTAGCATGGGGTACCTAATAAAGTGGCCGGTGAGTGTATATTGCTTTACATAAGTATATTGTATGCATGCAGGTAAAGTTGGATGTACTATATATCCAACTTTTAGCCAAGCAATAATGTAGTTTACATTTTGCAACGAAAAAACAACCTATATTCTTTATTTTTACATTGAAATGTGAGTGGTTACTAGGTAGTCAAATTCAAAAGTGATCAGGCTCAGGCCCTTCGATGCAAATCTGAGGGATTTATCATCAAATCGTTATTTCCATATCTTAGTAAAGTACCAGCACACCTTTCAATAAGATGCATAATTTGAGGAATAATTCATTTTAGGTGTTTGTACTTAAAAGTATTTAGTTTACATTTATGAGTGTGTGATAGTACTGATTCTGCCCTAGCATTGCACTACTAGCTTGTGTCAACTGATCCACGCAAGTTAACAGGTTATTATTCAGGCTGTCATTATATCCCACTTCAAGCTGTTGGGATTTTAAAAGTACGAGAATGTCATGATGTCCGAACTCTTCGTGTGGCCACTTAAAAACACTCTTGGCTCATCATTTCTGTCCATTTATCCTGAAACAAGTCATCGTGTCAGTGTTTTAACTTCAAATTACCATACTATTAGTCCTCAAACACTCAATGCATTCTCGGTCTACATTTCTTTTTGATCTTGGGTATAAAGCTGATTTTTCATCTTTAATTATTTGTGCTTATAGGAGCTATAAGAAGTGCAAGTGATTAGTTCTATTTATATTCATCCAAAAAAGCAGTAATAATACTTTTTTTCTTTTACGTGTGCTGGTTTAATTAGTTCCAGTGACGTGAGAGATTTCTTTGAGCTCTAGCTCTGCTGTTAAACGTGTTAATGCTGCTCAGTGAATTAATTATGGGATTCAATCTAGCATTCATATCGCAAACAATAGAGAAGAACCTTAACAGATGAAACTGGGGTTTCGGTTCGGTTATTTCCTTTTGCTTTGATAAGCCTTTCTATTCTCAGATGGATTTCTTACAAAGAACTGATGCGTATACCAGATGAGTATTTGCAGACTGCTTATTCTTTGCTTTTATTTAACTTTCATATAATAACCGGAAAGGATTTTCACACAAGTTCTATAATATTTTAAAAGGAAGCTGTCAAAACAGTGAATATGAGTAATACAAATTAATATTGTTGGGGCGGCAGTGGCTCAGTGGTTCATAAACTGGAAGGTTGGTGGTTCAATCCCCGGCTCCACCTGACCAAGTGTCGAGGTGTCCATGAGCAAGACACCTAACCCCAGCTGCTCCCGACGAGCTGGATGGCGCCTTGATTGGCTATCACCGCCGTCGGTGTATGAATGAGTGTGTGAATGGGTGAATGTGAGGCAATATGTAAAGCGCTTTGGTGGCCATTGGGTCTGTGAAAGTGCTATATAAATGCAGTCCATTTACCATTTACAAAATCCCTACCTTTATCAAAGTCATTTGTGTGCTTATAAATATTATAATTATGTATCCTTTCATCTGAATGCATGCCTTGGAGAACTTGTGATTAAAGTCCAGTTAAATATTAGGCCTACAACTTTTGGGCCAGTTTCGATCCCTTAAGAAGCCTATGGAGGAGTGATCCAGCTCTCAGATTTAATAAAAAATATCTTAATTTGTGTTCCAAAGATGAACGAAAGTCTTACGGGGTTGGAACAACATGAGGGTGAGTAATTACTGACAGAATTTTCATTTTTGGGTGAACTATCCCTTTAACACAACATAACAGCTGAATTACACAGAACTCATTGTGACAGTGTATTTTTGCTGCCACTGTAACTGTTTGAGTTAATTGACTTGCTTAAATGGCAATAAGATTCAAAATAATTAATTATGCAAATGATTTTGAAGTGCCTTGTAAGTATCACCAAAGGAACATGTACATCACAATGACTGTGCAAAAGCAGTTAAAAGTGAGATGGACAGGAAAGATTGGTCTGCTAAATCATTTTAGTGTTTGCTAAGTTTTATTCTTCTTCACAATTTATTTTGTAACTATTTCAGTTTTAACCACCAAACATACAGCCTCCATTCAAAGTCTTGTAGATAATATTTTGCATCTCAATTTTATAATTTGTTTAGTAAAGGTTTTAAATAGTTGAAAATGTCAGTATTTTAGTATCACTGAGATACTATTATACCTTTTTATTACTATTTTGAATTAGTCTCGCCCAGGGTGTAATTCAATGTAGAACCGCCACTGACGTCATGCGCAGGTGTATGTTTGTATACACACAGATGGGAATGCTTACACTTGTGTTTGACGGTATGTTTGGAGATTAGATTATGTCATTGTCAGAGGTTGAATTTCTCATGGGTAATACCAACATTTCAACCTAGGATATCTATCTATCTATCTATCTATGGTCATTCTTCTATTTTTCTGTCTGTCTTTTGTTGTCTGTCATTCTATTTTTCTATATGTCTATTGTCTGGTGGTTCTGTCTGTCATTCTGTTTGCTGTTGTTGTCTGTCTGTGTTGTCTATCTTTCTGTCTGAATGTCATTCTGTCTATCATTCTGTTTGTCATTTTGTCTGTCTGACACCATCCATTCTTTCTATATTTGTCTGTTGGTCTGTCTGCCATTCTGTCTATCGTTCTGTCTCTATTTTTATGTCTATTGTTCTGTCTAAATACGTTCAGTATTCCGATTCTGTCGGATAGATTCTTTAAAAAGAAAAAGACCATGGGAATGTACTATTGAAAAGGAATCTATTTCAAATACAATAAAGTATATTTTTTTCATAAGCTTGGAACTTGCAGTAATTGGTCAAATTATGCACACTGTGACTGAATGTCCACACCGAAATTCAGATCCTGAATTAAATTAAATAAATAATGAATAATTGTTATTTGTACCCCTAAAACAGGCAGGGCTGCTACATCGGTTTTCAATGATTTATTAATTCTTAGAGTACCACTGGTCCTACTTCAAACAGTGCAACAAAATAAATCTAAAGAAAATATGTCTGATTTCAGTCTCCTAAAAGAAAATGTATATTTACGTCTAGATGTCAAATCTACAAATCTAGATGACAAAAAATACAAAATAAAAAAATAAAAAAAGGGGCACATTACACTAGGCACACAGACTAATATACTGTTTAATTACATAATAAAGGTTAATTCACCACAAAATAAATGTTTAAATCCAATAATCAGATGAGATGATCCTATACTTTAACAATTATTAGTCTTTAAGCCAAGATTAATGACTAACTGCATGATCTACATAGCTTTACTGAACCTAAACACAAATATTGAGAATGTGACTGACAAATATATGCATATACTGCATATATATGCGAATGTGACTATTTTGAATTAGTTTACATTTACAGTCTGTTTTTATTTTCGTTTTAGTAATTTTATTTGTTTGTTTTTAAATATGTCTATACTCTATATACATTTTTTAAATCAATTTTTATATCAGTTAAAGTTAAATGAAAATAAGAAATGCTGCCATGGCAAATGAAAATATATATCAAAAAAACGTAACTTATTTTAGTAAAAGTTCTCACTACAACATCTGTGTATGTTATTTATATATATATATATATATATATATATATATATATATATATATATATATATATATATATATATATAACATCTATATGTGTGTGTGTGTGTGTGTGTGTGTGTGTATGTATGTACACACACACACACACACAGACCACTTAACTTAGTGATTGCAATCAGGATGTGAAGAGACTTTAAACCAGCATAAAACAAAAACATTTTCTGGAACAAATCGCAAACCCTGCCTTTAAGTGTTAAACACGATTTGAATAATTAGCTGACATTTTTAAGCAGCCAACATGGCGCAACATAAGCAAGTGCACCTATAAGAGTGGGAGGCTTCCCTCTACATTGATATTATAGTTAGTCTTATGACCTTTTTCTACTACCCTCTGTTTAGGGAACTGTCCCTCTCACACACTGTACATCTGCATCCTTTTCCGTCATGCCACAGTGAACACTGAGATCATCCAAAATAAAGCAACAAGAGGCTCTTCAGTCATCATTGTTTCCAGGCGTTCTATCCATAAATCAGTCAACATGATGATGATGATGATGATTCGCCCCCTGCTGGGCAGATGAAGTTTATCTGCTTGTCAAAATTCTTGTCTTCAATAAGTCTTCAATATAGATATTCAATGGGAATTTCTTAATAATAATAAAATTAAGCTTTAATAAAATACATTAAGCTTTAACTAAAGTGGGGAAAATTTTTTACACAAATGACTCGGATGGTTTTCGTGGAAGCCATTTTAATAACTTTCTAGTTTTACAAAATGTTAGTTGCCGTTTTGTACATGAAAATCTGTAGATTATTCATCACGTTTATAGTATAAATCCATAAGGTCAGAGACATTTCATTTAATTTCTATACTAGTTACAGATGAGACCAATGTTTGTTGGCTTTTGCACATGATTATCTGCAGATTATTTGTCACATTTACATTAATAAAAGGCCAGAGTCATTTCATTTATCAGTTATATACTAGTTACGAATGAGACACTTTTAAAAAAAGAAAATTAATATGTTAGAGACATTTTTCTGGTAAATGAAGACATTTTATCATTCCTGTTGTTCAATGCAATGTAGACCTTTACTGTCTGCCGCCTCCTTGTGGAGACATGCGAGACTTGAACCAGAAGATTCAATTCACATAACAAAACATTCAATACAATAAAGAGTATTGTGGTTTTTCCATTTGTTCAGACTGTATGCAACTTCAAATAATTTTGCATATTTGACATCAGTAGGTTCCAATATTTTGTTTCATTTAAGAATTATTTAAGAAAGAAAGTATGTTTTTGTATGATCTTGAACTCTTGTCTTCATGCAGCACGAGTCCCTTAAAGCTTTTTCTTCTCAAATAAATCTTTCCAGGTGGGAACTATCTTGAAATAGACTTTTTCAATCTGGAAACAATTTTCAAAAGTGTTACTCAACTGCCAATGATGTTTTCCAGAACAAATGTAATAAGTCGACTCTACAATGAAAAAGATGATAATCATGTTTAGAATTAGAAAATATTTCTCACCTGCTCTGACTTTTTAATCCCGTATCGAAACATTGTGGCCTGATGTTCGCTGTTGTTGAAAAGGATGTCAAAGGTGATGGGTTTCGCCATGATGTCATCGATCTCCGGCTTGATGAGAGAGTAGAAATCTCGGGGTGGATGCTTGTCATCCAAGTAGTTTCTTACCTTGTATCTCTTCCCGACTACATCAAGCGGGTCAAGCTTTACTCCGGCGTTTAAAGCTCGGCCGAAGAGGAGGAGTTTGGTGTCTGAATCTTGAAGAGAGATGATGGGAGAATGAGTTATGAGATTTCAGATTTCACTCTTAACAGATCGCGCACACACTCACCTCTGATGGTCAGATGGGCCACGTAAGGAACTCCGTCCCGTTCACCATAGTAAACTCCAAAATGAGAAAAGTAACTGTTTCCGGGAAACTCAAGAATATCTCCCGGGTAAAGCTTCGGATGAGAGTTATGCTGAGAAGAAGAAAAAGTAAAGATATCATGAAACTACACTTTAAAAGCATGATCACATCCCACTTTTAGAAAGAAAAGAGTCCAATGGGGATCTATTGTCCCAGTTTAGCTGTAGTGATGAACCAAATAAAAATGCGTGATGCAAAAAGACGATGAAATAACATTTAATAAACACCAGGAACAATATAGAAATACACACTAGAATGTAACTTCAACACAAGACCTAGAACTGAGGAAGACTGTGGGCTTACAGGGTTTCTGCACACTTTTTAAAGTCAAATTTAAGGCCCGAAGAAATCAAAATTAATACCATGCATTAGGAGTGTGCAATATTGACAAAATATGTCTCGATATTTTAAAGGTAATATTTGCCACCTTAAATAGATTTCCAGGGACATTTTCATCTATATATGGACATTTGTAGATGTATGCATCAACTTTTATGTCAAATTCTAACATTCAAATTAAATTATATTAGAATAATTACACAATACCACGGTTACCAGTCAAATTAAATCATTAAATCAAAATCCATCTTTGCAGTGCAGAGGTGACACAGAGGTGGCATCAGATCTGGCATTAATATATTTACACTGCATTTAAAATTGCATAAATAAAGCTATGAGATCGTTAAAATTAAAAATCAGTTCATATTTAACATTCTAATTAAAGGGTACTTTAAATGTGAAACTAAAACTGCCAGTAGGTGGCGGCAAGTCACTGTCTTAAGTGAGTTGAGGGAGTCGTTCATTCAACCGATTTGATCAAACTGATTCATTCGGGAAAGAAGCAAGTGTTTGTTCATTGAATCATTAAATTGATTCGTTCAAAACGCGGATTCTATTTTAAAAAAAAATCATCGCTGTCGGTTGCATTGACACTCGATCTGCTATGGCTTCATTTCGAAATTCCAATCAGGGAAGGGAAAGCAAACAATATTGACAATATTGTTTATAAAATGTAACTCACAATGTTAATTTAACTGTTATATAAAATAAGTCACATTTGCAATTGTGCACAGGAAAACGGAACTCTTGCTGATGTGATATTGTAGGCCTATGATAACAACATAATATGATATAAATATGAGACAAAAACTAATTTGGGAACATACCTATAACCGTAACTTACACATATCACGCAGTGAAAGCACGAGAGAAAAGCGATGTCAGCTCGCAGTGCCTCGAACACGTACATCGTTAAAACAATGATTACAATATCATAGACCATACACATTGCACACCACTACGCACATAAAGAATGAACTTACAATTGAACTGACATTTACCAACTTTCTTCTTCTCTCCTCCTGTTTCGCGTGCAGGAGACAGACATAATAATGCCGCGAATGTGACGCGAAGTGTCACGTGAACAAGCAGATCCACAAAGAAAGAATAATAAATAAAAAAGTACGCTAATTAGATGGTTCTAATTTGGAAAACATTTAGATATGTCTGATTCAAATTGCCATCGAAAATTTAAGACCTTTCATAAGTAAAAATAAGACTTTTTAAAACTTTTTATGGCCTTAAATTTAAAGAATCTAATTTAAGACTTTTTAAGGACCCGCGGAGACCCTGGCTTAAATACACGAGGAAGGTAATCAACAGAACAGGGAACATGTGAGGACTAATTCGACACTATGACAACTAATGAACAAACTAGAACTAGGGCAAGACAGAAGGTCCGTTGTACTAAAAATGTGAAAACGTTTTTCCTTCGCGTTTTTCACGTAAAGTTCACACAGTGAAAACGGCTAAAAACGCTATATTCTGTACACTTTGTAAATGTAACAACACTTTGTAAAAAAAAACTACGCGCCTATAGACTGAACATGTAATAAGCATGCGCACGACATCATTTTCACGACATCATTTTCACAAATTTGTGTTTTAGTAGTTTACACAGAGACGATAACAGTAGTTTCAAAAATTGGCATTTTCAGGCCCCCAAAATGCTGTTGTTGTGTAAATGAACGGCCAAAACCCATAAAAAGTTTGCCTTGTTTAGTTTTAGGTGCCACCGTTTTCAACTAAAAATGGAAAAGCACTAAACTTACAGAACCCTAGGGTCCTTGACTCAATGCCAGAAAGGTTCTACATAAAGAGAAATGTCTTAAATTATTGCTTAATACTTTCATGTTTACAGGTTATTAAAACAAATTCTAGTGATAAAGTATGTTTACAAGCGGTTTAATTCATAACATTTAATTATAAATAAAATTTCTTTTTGATTTTCATGAAGGTACACATATCTCTAGTGTTGGAAAATGTGTGATAGCATCCGATCCATGGTAGCTTTTATTAGAAATCAACACTTATATATCATCCTACCTCAAGGTAAGGTGTTCAGTGACTACAAGAGAGAAAAATTTATCCTTTTATAATTTTAAAAATGTATTAAAACAATTTATACTTTTTTTATTATAAAATTGTATAATGTTTTTATAAAATTTAAAATTTATTTAAAGATAAATTCATTTATCCTTTTTCATCTGTTTGAATCTGTTTGAAAATCGTCCTCCGTAACCAAAAACTACCTTGAATCTTGAATCACCTTGAATCACACATTTTTCAAATACAGGGTCATATACCTACACACAAATCACCATGCGGTTTAATCCCTCAAAATGGTACCAATCAACCCTGTCTCACGGCCTATAGTGAAGTATTTTTACTTTACTCATTTTTCAAGTATCTGTACTTTATCAGTGTTTTTCTTTAGAAAACTTTTACTTCGCAACATTCCAAATTTCGTTGAAATAACACTCTGATAAAGTACAGACACTTGAAAAATGTACTTAAGCATAGTAAAAATACTTCACTCTTGTCCGCCTCTGCTTTTAAGGCATTGCTACAGGCGTCCTGGCCAATGTCTGGGTGGACGACACCCCTCAGAGAGATGCCATCGCTAGGATTCTCTCCGTTTTGGAAAGCCGCTTTGACCTGGTTTTGCGATCCTGCCATGCTGGTGTCAGAATCCCCGAGCCAGACATCTTTAACAATGCCCTTGAGAAACTGGCTGTCAAACCTGAAGAAGTAGGTGCAGTAAATTATTTCAGAAGGTCTGCAGTTGAAAATTGGCAGCAGATTCAAAGCCTGCTAGTTAAGGATGTAACCAAATATTATTTTAATTTACTTGTTTAAGGCAATCTGGCTGGATGTGGATAAAGAAAGCGTCAAGGCAGCTGAAGGTTTGGGAATAACATCTGTTCAAGTCAAGGACATCACTGAGGCTCTTAAGGAGATCCAGAAGCTTACAGGAATAGAGGTGAGGAATTCTGACCCTTAACCACGTAATTCCCACTATGTTGTTTGTTTAAAGCAATCTTATCGATAACCTCTCTATCTATGTTTACTACACATGTGCGAGATGTTCTGCCCAACAGGTCACCAGTGAGCTCCAGCCACCCTTTTGTAATCCTGAAAATGTCTCTCATGGATATCTGAATATTAAGGTCATCATTTATAATGCTTATTTCTGTCATAATCGTGCCAAAAGTTCGCTGACAATGTGCTGTTTGACAGAGAGGGTCATGAAAAGGGTGTTCTTCTGTTTTTCAGCCTGGTGTGAAGATCCACTATGTGGACATGGGAGACGGACCGCCTGTTCTCCTGTGCCATGGCTTCCCTGAGAGTTGGTTTTCCTGGAGGTATCAGGTGAGGAACATCAACATTTCCAGCGGATGCAACATGAAATCGGCTTATTGTTGCGAGTCTGACAGCTTAATGGTCAAAGATCAGAGGTGGTAACCCACAGACTCAAAAAGACAGTGTCATTGTTCAGATCAAGTCAATTCCGTTCAATGACTGTGTAAAGTTCATCAGTTATGAAACTATTTTAAACCTTTCTAAATCTCTTGTTTAGGCACGTTAGTGCTCATTATTACTTTTTCTCAATATTACTTCATTTTAGTTGAATAATGGGTAATAATGTAATGGGACTTTATTGTAAAGTGTTATCATTTTTTTTTTTTTCTCATCAGATTCCGGCTTTGGCCGATGCTGGTTTCAGGGTTCTGGCTCTTGATATGAAGGGTTACGGTGACTCCACTGCACCACCTGGTCAGTTATAATTATAATACAGTGTATCTCATGCTTTGATTTTTCTTGTCGGGCCTGTACCTGGACCATACGGTGTAAACGACTTCACTCTAATGATTGGAGACGTCCTGCATACATCACCAATCCGCTTAAAACGTAACAAGCTCTCGCTCATCTGCATTCACTTTTGAGTGCAACGCCCACAACTTAAAATCCAGTTAACAGCTGATGTAGAACAATCAATGCCTCATATATTTTGTCTGTTACACTCGCATGTATGTCATATTACAGAAGAAAAGATCTGTCGCTACTTCCTTTTTCCTCACAACTTTGAAGTAAAGACACTGCACTTGTTAGAGGCAGTGTTCATCCTCTTTCAAAACTAATAAAGTATGGCACAACACAGGGTTAAAAAAAAAAATCAAAAGTTTTTTTTGTACATAAACTTAGCTGGATACTTTATTTTTGCTCATTGTACATTAAAAATGCCCAGTCTTTCCCAGGATGTCGTCAAGGTTAAGTGTAAATATTTTTTTAATTGCATCCTGTGATCAAGGATGCTCAAGATACAGTAAATCAGCAATTCCGACTGGAATTTGTATTGACTTGCCTTATAAACATAAGCAGTTATGTAAATAGGTTATATTTTTTTAATCTATTTGACATTTTTACGCTTTGAGAACGCTTGCTTTTTTTTTACATCAGTTATGTCATGTTTTTTTTTACCAACAATAACTTTCATCTAAGTTTGCAGGACAGGTTTGACTTTTGTTTCCAAAGTGTCATTGATCTGTATCTTATATATACTCAATGCACGAGTAAAAGAAGCGATAAACTTCTGCCGAGAGTTTGTTTTAAACGTGTGTGCGTGTGGCCTGCGCTGCATGAATTTCCAGGTAACTGAAAAAAATAAATGCCTTAAGGCGTTCTAGCATTCTTGTTCCCTAGTAAAACCGAGTATCGGGTCACTTCTGTGATGGGATTTGACGTCAAACTTTAATTGTGTGGGGAGTGACAGTGCGTGTTTTGAACAATAAGATGCGAGTCTGTGCTGTTTTTTGAACATATGCTCAATATAACATGATCTCAAGGCCTTATTGCTCTTATAAAATGATTACAATCAAAATATTAAGGGCATTTTTCATTAAAACAGTTTATTTAAGCATTTTAATAAGTCTCATCCTTCTGATAGAATATATACTGTAGTTAACATGTAGCTAACGTTTATTATTATTATCATATGAGAAGATACAGATCATAGAATAAGCTGTTTTATTCCCATCTGTCTGCAGACATTGAGGAGTACTCTCAAGAACAGATCATGCTGGTAAGCAAATGTTTCCCATTAAAAAATTGATTAATCTAGATTAAATCTGTTGTTTCACAAAATTGATAATTTTTTCTATCCCTCGTGGCCTTTTAGGATTTGGTGACATTTTTGGATAAGATGGTATGTACTGTTTTTGCTTTCACACACACATACATATAATCACAGGATTATTGAGGAAGGCTGCTTATTATATAACAGAATATGAAAAACCTTTGATGCAGGGCTATACTTAAAGGTTGGGCCTAGAGAACCGGTTCTAAATGGTTTACGTTAAAGTACGCTATAGACATCCCTGAATTCCTTTGAATAGCAGACAGAATAAAGTACTCAAATATACTGTTTCCTGTGCTGCTTCTGTATCTACAGTGCCACAGCAAAAGAAATGTTTTATGAGTTGTGGGTTTGCAGTTTGAATTGAGAAAGAATTCAAAGAGCATACATTGACGGCACATAATGGGGTTGTCTGTGCTGGTCGCACATATCTACGATTCGTGAGCGATTAATCTTACGCGCCGGTTCTTTTTAATGAATAGAGCGAATGACTCACTCACCGCAAGTCATTTATATATATATATATATATCAGGACCTCTACTTTCTGCATGCAAAAGGATTCTCAATTGTAATCATAGGCTACTGTCAAATGCAATTACATTTGTTTTGTAAATGTTTAATCTCACAAAAAACAGCAGTTTTTTTTATCACACATCATGTTATAAAACTGCTTCTGCTCTGATAACACTGATGGGTTTAGGGGCCATTTTCAAGATCGTTTTAAACTAAAAATGGAAAACTTTTTGTGCGTTTTTTTGGCCGTTGAGTCTGT